GGTGGCCAGGCCTGTACTCATGGGGCCTGGTCGGGCACAGCCCGAACAAGGCATGTGGGTCCCCCCTCCAATGGGCTCACCACCTATAGGAGGGGCCATAGGGGTCGGGTGCGATGTGAGCTGGGCAGTGGCGGGGACCTTGGCGGTCCAATCCTCGGCTGCAGAAGCTAGCTCTAGGGACATGGAATGTCACCGCTCTGATGGGGAAGGAGCCTGAGCTGGTGCGTGAGGTTGTGAAGTTCTGGCTAGATATAGTTGGGCTCACCTCGACGCATGGCTTGGGCTCTGGAACCAGTCTCCTTGAGGGGGGTTGGACCTTCTTCCACTCTGGAGTTGCCCGTGGGGAGAGGCGCCGAGCAGGGGTGGGCATACTTATTGCCCCCTTGGCTGGGCGCCTGTACATTGGGGTTTACCACAGTGTAGCCTCCCTTCACCTTCGGGTGGGGGGACGGGTTCTGACTGTTGTTTGCGCTTATGCGCCAAGTGGCAGTTCAGAATACCCACCCTTTTTGGAGTCCTTGGAAGGGGTGTTGGAGAGCACTCCTCCTGGGGACTCTCTTGTTCTGCTGAGGGACTTCAATGCTCACGTGGGCAATGACAGTGAGACCTGGAGTGGCGTGATTGGGAGGAACGGCCCCCCCGATCTGAACCTGAGCAGTGCTTTGTTGTTGGACTTCTGTGCTCATCATGGATTGTCCATAATGAACACCATGTTCATATGTAAATGGACTGCATTTATATAGTGCTTTTCTACTCCTACGAGTACTCAAAGCGCTTTACAATACATGCCTCACATTCACCCATCCGCACTCACATTCACACCCCAGTGCCGAAGGCTGCCATGCAAGGCACCAACCTGCACACCGGGAGCGCTTTACAATACATGCCTCACATTCACCCATCCGCACTCACATTCACACCCCAGTGGCGAAAGCTGCCATGCAAGGCACCAACCTGCACACCGGGAGCAATTTGGGATTCAGTGTCTTGCTCAAGGACACTTTGATGGGGTCAGGAGGAACCAGGACTCGAACCTACAACCCTTTGGTTGCCGAACGATAGCACTACCTCCTGCGCCACCATCTTCCCCAAATTTGTGCACTTGGCACCAGGACACCCTAGGTCACAGTTCGATGATGATGTAGTCGTGTCATCGGATTTACGGCCGCATGTCTTGGACACTCGGGTGAAGAGAGGGGCGGAGCTGTAAACTGATCACTACCTGGTGGTGGGTTGGCTCCGCTGGTGGGGGAGGAAGCCGGCCAGGCCTGGCAGGCCCAAGCGTATAGTGAGGGTCTGCTGGGAACGTCTGGCAGAATCCCCTATCAGGAGGAGTTTCAACTCCTACCTTCGACAGAACTTCTCCCATGTCCCGGGGGAGGCGGGGGACATTGAGTCCGAATGGGCCATGTTCCGTGCCTCCATTGTGGAGGCGGCTGACCAGAGCTGTGGCCGTAAGGTGGTCGGTGTTTGTCGCTGCGGCAATCCCCGAACCCGCCGGTGGACACCAGTGGTGAGGGATGCCGTTAAGCTGAAGAAGGAGTCCTATCGGGCCTTTTTAGCATGTAGGACTCCAGAGGCAGCTGACAGCTACCTGCAGGCCAAGCGGGATACAGCTTCGGCGGTCGCTGAGGCAAAAATTCAGGTGTGGGAGGAGTTTGGGGAGGCCATGGAAAACGACTTCTGGACGGCTTCGAGGCGATTCTGGTCCACCATCCAGTGACTCCGGGCGGGAAAGCAGTGCAACATCAACAGCGCTGCTGACCTCAACTCGGGACGTTTTGGGTTGGTGGAAGGAGTACTTCGAAGACCTCCTCAATTTCACCAACATGCCTTCCAATGTGGAAGCAGAGTATGGGGACTTGGGTGTGGACTCCCCTATCTCTAGGGCGGAGGTCGCTGAGGTGGTTAAAAAGCTCCTCAGTGGCCTGGCCCTGGGGGTGGATGAGATCCGCCCGGAGTTCCTTAAGGCTCTGGATGCTGTGGGACTGTCCTGGTTGACACGCATCTGTAGCATCGCGTGGACATCGTGGGCAGTGCCTCTGGACTGGCAGCCCGGGGTGGTGGTCCCCTTCTTTAAGAAGGGGGACCAGAGGGTGTGCTTCAACTATAGGGGGATCACACTCCTCAGCCTCCCTGGTAAGGTCTATTCGGGGGTTCTGGAGAGGAGGGTCCACCTGATTGTCGAACCTCGGATTCAGGAGGAGCAGTAATCAATAATTAAGAAACCTACAAAATTAATTAAAATCCATAAGTTCTATTAAAAAGAAATGTCTTAAGTCCTTTTTTAAAATTTTCAATAGTCTGTGGGGCCCTCAAATGGTCTGGGAGGGTGTTCCATAGACGCGGGGCGGCAGAACAGAAGGCCCGATCACCCATGGTGTTAAGTTTGGTCCTGGGAAGTAGGAGACGATTTGCATTTGTAGATCGTCGAGACCGTGTTAAACTGCTCTAAAACTGAAGCAATCTTAGTTGGTACCCCGCATCAGCCTCCATACCGAGTATTACGGTCTCCGGTCATGACATTTCCCTTGCCTCGTCAGTCATCAACCTTGGTGTTAGACTTGATCCTCAACTCACTTTTGAAGCTCATGCTAAACATCTCTGCAAGACTTCATTCCACCACCTCAGAAATATTGCAAAACTCCGTCCTACTCACCTTGCCAGACGCTGAAAAACTGGTTCACGCCTTTATCTCCTCCAGAATCGACTACTGCAATGCACTTCTCATTGGAATGCCCAACAAACATCTTCAAAGACTCCAATACATACAGAACAGTGCAGCAAGGATTCTGATGAGAGTTCGAAAATATGAACACATTACACCCATTCTTCAATCACTGCACTGGCTTCCCGTTTTTGCAAGGATTGTATACAAGGTTTCCCTTATCATTCACCAATGCATCCATGGAAATGCCCCCCTTTACTTAAAAGAACTACTTACCCCCCTAATCTTAACTGGAGAAAGTTTTGTTTCATCCACACACTGATCTCCTCAAGACAGATGCTGAGTTTCGATGAAGATGATGCTGCAGAGGAGTATTTCTCAGTTTTCATGTAAAGCTGTGTGTCATCAGCATAACAGTGAAATGAAATTCCGTAGTGGCTAGTGATTTGGCCAAGAGGGAGCATGTATAAAGTGAAAAGGATGGGGCCGAGAACTGACCCCTGCGGGACTCCACAGGTCACAGTGTGCGTCCGGGACCTTGCTTTTCCAAGGGAAATATACTCTGTCCTGTCTGTAAGATAAGATTGAAACCAAGACCAGGCAGTGTCATCTAGTCCAATGGTGTGATGTAACCGATTGAGGAGTATATCATGGTCAATGGTGTCGAATGCAGCAGATAAATCAAGAAGAACGAGTAGAGAAGGTGAGCCAGCATCAGCCGTCATCAGCAAGTCATTTGTGACTCTAATTAAAGCTGTTTCTGTGCTATGGGCAGAGCGAAAACCAGACTGAAATTTTTCAAAGAGGTTGTTGTATTTGAGGTGATCCTGAATATAGATGGCAACTACTTTCTCCAGGACTTCAGTGAGGAATGGAAGGTTGGAAATTGCCTATAGTTGGCAAATACTTCTGGATCAAGAGTGGGTTTTTTGAGAAGTGGTCAGATTATAGCGGTTTTTAAAGCAGATGGAATGTAGCCAGCCTGGAGGGATCGGTTAATGATTGTGGTGATCAAAGGAGTGATGGCAGAGATGTTTGCTTTCACTACGGCTGTAGGAAAGGGATCCAGAGCACAGGTGGAGGACTTCATCTTCCTAATAATTTCTTCAACCTCTTGATAAGAAACTTCTAGGAAGCAGTCGAGAGGCTGAGCAATCACATGCCGTGGATTGATGGTCAGAACAGATAGATCTGGTGGATCTTGGAAAGCCGAGCGAATTGAGTTAATTTTTGCTTTGAAGAACGACATAAAATCATTACAGCGCTCTTCTGTATTTTCAACAGGTATAGGAGTTTGTGGTTGGAGAAGTTGATTTACAGTGGAGAATAGCTGCTTAGAGTTTCCATGGCTGTTTTTAATGACATTTGAATAAAACTGAGACCGTGCCTCTCTAAGGGACTTTGAGTATGCCTTTTGATGTTTCCAATAGGCCAGTTTATGGACAGTGAGACCAGTAGCATTGTGACGCCGCTCAAGGGCACGCCCAGCTGCCTTCATTTTTTGTAGCTCATTCGTAAACCAGGGTGCTGAGCGAGAGAAGGTGACCACTCTGGATTTGACCGGGGCATGGAGATCCAATATACTGCTCAAGGTTTCATTATAAAAGTCCACTGCAGTATCAACTGATGAGAAGTTTACATGAAGAAGACTCTGTAAGTCAATTGTCATAGATACTGGGTTGATATTTTTCAAATTTCTAAAGCCGATTTGGCGTTTGGCCTTGATGAGAGGGGAAGGAAATAGCAGCTCCATGGAGACAACCTTATGGTCAGACACACCCAAGTCATGTATTAATAAATTGCTGACAAGGGCAGAGTTGGTAATGACCGAATCGAGCGTGTGCCCCCTAGTATGCGTGGGGACATCAACAAGTTGGCTGAAATTAAAGCAGTCCAATAATTGAAGAAAGTCAGCAGCAAGACGACAGGAAGGTGAATCTACTGTACATGAATATTCAGATCCCCAAGTATTAGAGTATTGGCAGAGGTTGTACTAAAAGTTGAGAGAAGCTCAGACATTTCAGTGATGAAAGATGGATTTGGTTTAGGTGGACGATAAATGAGAAGTATTGCCATAGAAGGATTGGATTTACATTTAAATGCCAGGCATTCGAAAGATGACAGCTCAGGTAGAGGCAAAGGGGACATATCCAGGTCATTACGATAGATGACAGCCAGACCACCACCACGACCCCTGCTGCGGGCTTTCTGGAGGTAATAATAGCCTGGAGGACAAGACTCATTTAATACAGAAAAAACATCTGGTTTGTGCCAGGTTTCAGTAAGGCACATAAAATCCAGACACTTGTCCACGATATGATCTTGTATTAGACAAGATTTGCTAGTGAGAGACTGAGTGTTCAACAACTCAGCTTTAATACAAACAGAGGTAATGAGTCTCCGTATTGGCCGAAGTTGTTTTAAATCTGCTCCACGTTTTCCATCCCACTCCGCAAGTGGTGGTATCATGGGAACGCCAATGCTAATAGTCCGAAAAGCGCCAGTGCTCTGATGACGTGTTTGGGGTGCGACAGTGCGCACAGCAGACCAGAGCGATGGAATAGCGTGACCAAACCTGGAGTAAACAAACTTTCTACAGGAACTTCTGTGAATATAGCGGGGTCGACGAAGAAGTCCAAGTTGCTTGATAACTGATATACATAATGGAGTGGTGTTGGAGAAGTTGTTTAGCTCCATCAACTGATCGACAGAATACGGCACCATCATGCTGGTTGTGGAGAGCCGAACTTGCTGTTAGTTGCCCCCCAAGGACGCGATGCACAGAAGTGAACCAGATGGACAGAAGCAGGAGTCTCCTTGCGATACTATATCGGCAGCGGTATGTAAGTTGACAGTCACCAGAATCAGGAAAATCCGTGAAGTCCGTAAAATAAGTAAAAATCGGAAAATCAGAAAAAATCCGTAAAATCAGTACAACACAGTTGACATAGCAGAAAAACCACCAGAATCAATTATAATCCATACAGTCCGTAGTTGAACAGCAGAAAAACCCACCAGAGTCAATTTTAATCTGTACAGTCCATAAAATCAGTAAAAAAAAACAGTAAAAATCCGTATATCCGAATAATCAGTACTATCCGATTTGATAAAAGAAAACTCCTTTCAAAGTAAACTAGCAATGGTAATATAATCATATACCAAACTAGAGTAATCTATTGAGCTCAGACGGAGAAGCGGCAAACAGACCTCGCCAGCGTCCTCTCCAAATGTCCTCAGTACACCGTAATTCAATACGTGGCTCCACGTGGCTGCACTGGTAACATGCTTGTGTGTGGTTTTCACCCTGGCTGTGGAACAGTGGACCAGCTCTATACTCTCCGCAGGGTTTTGGAGGGTTCATGGGAGTTTGCCCAACCAGTCTACATGTATTTTGTGGACATGGAGAAGGCATTCAACCGTGTCCCTCGGGGAGTCCTGTGGGGGGTGCTCCGGGAGTATGGGGTGCCAGGCTTCCTTTTAAGAGCTGTTCGGTCCCTGTATGACTGGTGCCAGAGCCTGGTCTGCATGGGCGGCAATAAGTCGGACTTGTTTCCAGTGAGGGTTGGACTCCCCTTTGTTACCGATTCTGTTCATAGTTTTTATGGACAGAATTTATAGGTGCATCCAGGGTGTTGAGGGTGTCCGGTTTGGTGACCTCAGGATTAGGTCTCTGCTTTTTGTGGTTCTGTTGGCCTCATCAGACCGTGACCTTTAGCTCTCACTCGGACAGTTCGCAGCTGAGTGTGAACTGGCTGGGATGAGAATCAGCACCTCCAAATCCGAGACTATGGTCCTCAGCCAGAAAAGGGTAGAATGCTCTCTCTGGGTCGGGGATGGGGTCCTCCCCCAAGTGGAGGAGTTTAAGTATCTCGGGGTCTTGTTCACGAGTGAGGGGACGATAGAGCGGGAGATCGACAGACGGACGATAGAGCGGGCACTGCATCGGTCTGTCATGGTGAAGAAAGAGCTGAGCCAAAAGGCAAAGCTCTCAATTTACCAGTCGATCTACGTCCCTACCCTCACCTATGGTCACGACCTATGGGTAGTGACCGAAAGAACGAGATCGCGAGTGCAAGCAGCCAAAATGAGTTTCCTCCGTAGGGTGGCTGGGCTCTCCCTTAGAGATAGGGTGAGGAGCTTGGTCATTCGGGAGGGACTCAGAGTAGAGCCGCTGCTCCTCCGCATTGAGAGGAGCCAGATGAGGTGGCTCAGGCATCTGATTAGGATGCCTCCTGGACGCCTCCCTGGTGAGGTGTTCTGGGCATGTCCCACTGGGAGGAGGACCTGGGGAAGACCCAGGACATGCTGGAGGGACTATGTCTCTCAGCTGGCCTGGGAACGCCTCGGGATTCCCCCAGAGGAGCTGGATGAAGTGGCCGGGGAGAGGGAAGTCTGGGTTTCCCTTCTGAGACTGCTGCCCCCGCGACCCGACCGCGGATCAAGCGGGAGATGATGGATGGATGGATGGATGGATAGTTTTATCATTGCAGTCACGGATTTTAAAAAAATAGTGTTCCCATATGTTTCCTGGTCCCCATAAGGTAAAAAAACTGGTATTCATCACGTTGTGGGGACATTTGGTCCCCACAAGGTAAGGTATACCTGGACCACACACACACACCACACACGCACACACAAACACTCAGTTCCTGTATCTTTGTGGAGAATGTCCTTTCATTTATATGAGCATGACCCTAATCCTGACTATGACAACCCTATCCCTTACTCAGCCTTAACCTTAACCATAAGTAAGCTAACAAAGTACAAGACTTGCCATTTTTAGTTTTTTTCACAAAATTTTTTAAAAGTTGTGAGGACTGGAAAAAATAGATAAGTGGTAGTTATGAGTATACAGATTATACGAAAGACAGGTGTGGCCAATAACCCTGGAAACCATGCCCCCTACCCCTATTGGAATACTCTGCAGGAAAACATTTCATATTTTTTTTCTTTTGGTTTCTTAAGTCTTTGTTTATTACAAATTAGTTGAAAATTAATTAATTAACTTGGATATACTGTGGGCCAGATCCTGGACACCCCTCTGACTTTGGCAGGTCCAAGGTGCGACTATTCATTAGTCCATCCATCCTCCATAATCACTTTTCCAGTGCAGGGCCTCCATCACCCGGGAGCCTATCCCAGAAACTGCACATTAATTAAACAGACAAGAAATGAAACTCTGGAAAGTCTCACTCCAATTTGATGAAAAGACCATATACTCTCACACCATTTTTTATTTTTACCCTGGAAGTCCTCTCTAGCAGGAATTGTACTTGTTACGACCACAAGGGCAGGGACGGACAGGTGCAACTCCTCTGACGCCGATTAGTCTTCCTTTAAGAAGGAACGCAAAAATACGGAACTAATCGCGAAGTATTGAGCTGATGAAAAGAAGCCTTACTGAGCGTTTTCTTGTCCTGCGTCTTCCCGATCCCCCTAGCCCTGCCCATTTACCTGCTGTCTGCTCCTTACCTTTTGTGCCTTCCTTCCGCAGTCCAGTTCCTGTCCCTAACTTACCTGCCCTGCTGAGTCCGACTTTCTCTGTCCTCCAACCCTCTCGTTCATCCGTCCTGTGCCTCTCTGTGGGACTGACCTACTGGCTACCAAACCCCGTTTCCGGACACCGACTATGATCCTCGCCCACCGTTTCCAATTCTGTTTGCCTGCTCTCTAAGCAAAGAGAAGCTCCATTTTTACGCACAGCCGCTCCACTGTCCCAAGCGGCTGCGCCTCCCCTTTGGGGTGGGGACGGGAGATCTGTGTCTTCACTTACCTGTTGCTCATCTTATTAAAGCTCGGCTTTCCTCACAGTCCTTGGTTCGTTTCTCTCTCGCTTACCCCGTGTGACAGAACTCATACTTAAAAGGATAAACAGGCCACAGCACCATCAGTTTTCAAATGGAATTTAGCCTTTTTTCCAGAATACACTGGAGTGGAACGATCAACCAACACATTACTACGGTCTATTGATAATTGACATTTCTTTTGGGGATCTTTAATTGAACATCCCTAATCTTTACTGGTTTGCCTCTTTTAGAAGTCTGAGTCTTCTGTCAACACTCTCCCAGGAGTTGAAGGATTTTCCCTCCATTTTCATTATTTAGCCTTTTTAAACTATTTCTAGCAAACAACTGGGCTTTTTGTGTTAAGTGTATACTTAATAGGTATTGGCAGGCAAGTTTTTTAGAACAGGGGATGTGATAGGAAGAGAAATGGGACTTAACGCTAAACCCCAACACCACCTCCTTGAGCAAGCTTATACAGTGAAACCCAGCTTAATTTACATTTCTATGAGCCATTCTAAATAAAAGAGCCCACAACATGCACCTTTAGGTCTATCTATCCAAAGCACCCAGGTTAAAGTTTATAAATCCTTTACATTTGTGGTCTCTATCCACCAGACTGATGTGCACAGTTAAACAAGATTTTAGGGCTCTTATTCACAAAGCATTTTATCTTTCCACTAAGAGTACTCCTAAATTGCACTAAAAGTTTTTAACTGAGTTTTTTTCGTAAAACCTACCCACAAAGTGACTGAGAGCAACTATTAGTAAAGAAAAGAATCAACTCCTAGGCTAAGAGTAAGACTCTGTTGCTTTGGCTGACGTCAGTCCTAATGCACGAGCTTGCCTGCAATAACCACGGGGATTGGTGGATGAGAGATCGGTATGTGTTGATGAAAATGTATGTACACTAGATCAGGACTTTGGTGTCATGAACTCACTGAAGGCACTGTGGGGAGATAAGCACAGGAGTCCAGGAATATAGGTGAACTCGGGGTTTATTAAAGGGATGACACAATCAGGAGCACAGGAACATAAGAACTATACAAACGAGAGGAGGCCATTCGGCCCATCGAGCATTAGTAATGTTAAGACGTTAATGAACGGACTGGGGAAACATACTGTAACGCGGACTTAAATACACAGAACTAATTAGGCACAACTAGAAACAGATGATAACATGGGGATTCCACACGAGGTAACGAGCAGTGCATGACATCTGGGCTACCCATATTGCTGTGTGACAGGGGGCATTGTCCTGTATGAAAATTGTTGACTGATTGGGTGATGAACGCAGAGAAGGAACTACATGTTGTCGAAGAAGGTTCTGATAAACATTTGCATTCACTCCGCCATGTAGCTGTATAAGTGGCCCAACTCCTGCTGCAGAAAACATTCCCCAAACCATGACACTTCCTCCTACACCTTTCAATGACTTCTTAACACGGTTGTGGTTCGGTCTTTCCCATCAGACCCAACTAAATTTAACTTACTTTCATCACTAAAATGTTCTTAAAATGCTCTTCATCCAAATGCTCTTAAATGTCGAGACACCGTATGACGAGACAAATCCTTACCGCATTCAGCACTGAATTGGCGAGCAATTCCAGCTGTAGTGTTGAAATGATTCTCCATTGACATTCTCCGCATTATCCTCTCCTCTCTTACATTTGTATTTCGTGGACGACCAGCCTCCTTGGGGGACTTGAATGAGTTTTTGACATTGTAATGGTTCAATATTCTAGAAATCACAGATTTGGAACGAACAACTTCTATTGCTATGGCTGATAGGGTCATCCCTTCATCTGGACAACCTGCTGCCGGAGCATTTCAGTCACTTTAGAACAGCTTTAGAAGATAACTTCCAAATCGGACTACGTAGTGACCTTGACATTTAGGAAATTAAAACTAGAGTCATCTGCTTCTGGCTAGCTACCTGAGGCTAATGCTACATGCACAGAAAACATGACGGAAAAAGAAAGTAATTTTCTCTCAATTACAAATATAGACTCATCAAAGTTTATGATAAACTGCCAAAACCGAGCCAATGAAATGCAGCAGCGAAACTACAATAAGATATATTTTATGTACAGTACTGCTTATAGTGTATTTGAATTATACACAACTCAGTAATTTAATTTGTGCAGTACTGTAATTGTACTGTTTTATGAACGAGTTAATAGCATTCAGTAAATAGCAACACTGTCTTTTATTACCTTATATTTATGTAATAAATATACAAATGTCAATTAGATGGTAATCTGCCTGAGACAAAGAAAAGAAAAAATCGATTATAATGATCATCCGTTAATAGTGATCAATTTCACCTAGACAGACATGATCACTGTAAGTGGTTTCCACTGCATATGATTGGGCTGTTTCTGTTTGTTGAAGATGTTATCGCATCTCTCACAAGCTCCACAACAATCATTATTCTCTCCCAACTGTTTATGTAATGGTTCCAAGACATTGCGACGTGGATTGACAGCAGCCATTTTGCGACTGTTTATGAGTTGGTCTTACTGACTTAGGAGACCTCTCGACTACTTTTTAGTTCTCCCAGACTTAGGTGCTACTTTTATGAGTCCTACATTTAGGACTCACACAGCCATTATTTCTCCTAAGTTAGAAGCTACTTTAGCCTTAAGATGCTTTTTGAGTACAGGCTCAGAAGACTGAGTGGTCAATAGCCCCTTTAAATGGAGCTTCAGGAAGTGGCTCCTAAAATTATCCATGCCTATGCATAGGAATGAAGGTCAACAGGTCACGCTGCACTGGGCATTGAGAGATGCACAGACATCTGGGTAATGGAGTTACTTGGGGGAAAATAACAGGCAATGAACTTTGCTTCTGCTGAGCAAGGGTGGATGCATTGTAAAATTTCTTGTAAAATTTAGTCACTTATATGTGCACAGTAATGGCTTACAATTGTTTTGAATAAATAATTAATGTTGTATTTTTCCATTAGTATGGATTAACAGCAGGTTAGCAGTTTCATACAAGACTCAATGAAGTTTCATTTCATGTTTCATGTTATTTTACTCTGGTTTTTGAGGAAATGTTGCTAGATAGAGCAAATTCCAGAAGTCACATTAGGGCATTTGACAGTGTGCAAAAACCCCACAGTATTGTCCTTCCAGACCCATGTTTCAGTCTAACACACAGTGGCCCGCTAATGGTGTGATCCTGTTTGTGAATATCCCCATATGTTTAAGTTCATTTACTATCCAAATAGTTGTTTCTATATGTATTTTACCTAAGAATTGAGGGAGTGCAAAAAGGCGAGCACCCAGCTCATCAACTCTGTGCAGACCTGCATTTTTGTTCCATTAAAAATTCAAAGTGAATCTGAAGGCTCTGAGGCCATCAAGTGGTGGAATCTTGCACTGCAGACTCATTAGAACATAAGAACTATACAAACGAGAGGAGGCCATTCGGCCCATCAAGCTTGCTTGGGGAGAACTTAACTAATAGCTCAGA